ATCTGATCTTTGCAAATCATATCCGACTTATAAAACACAGAGAATTCTTTTAATTTTCCAATTACTGAAAATAGTTTGCCGTCTCTACTAATAAAATCTGTATCTCCTCTGTTTTAACATCAACAGTGCGAACTGTAAAGGAGTTTTGGGATTATCTGAAGCTAAATTCTGTTAATTAAAATTGATGCATTTATTACAGCTATAAAAAAATACTAACTCCTTTGATTGTGGTAATTACAGGTTACTCTGTTTTAACCTAAAAAAAGTTTAGCAGTAGAAGGCTGACTGTAACTCAGATAAATGAGAGGCTTTTCCTCTTTCCAGCCATTCATAAAACTGTCCATGATTTATACTTGATTTTATACAAAAACCCACTCTTTACTCATTACCAGCTTAAATTTATTAACTACTCATCTATAATTAGAGAGACACTCTAGTGTTTATGATACACTGCTATATGCAGGTGCAGGATGTACAACCACCTCACCTCTTTCAGAACAAGAACACAGTTCCCAGGTCCCACAGACTGAGGAAGCTCTGCAATCCTGCCTTTGTTTAGGTAAGGCCCTGAGAAGCACCGGTGATTGAAGTAGATCTTTGGGCAGCAGTACTTTCCATTAATTACCACTGAGAAATGAGAAAGCAGAGATTTAAATCACATGCTACAACCTCCCCAAAGAACAACTTCTTGCAATACGTAATATTTTGCCTGCTGTAAAAAAAAGGAGGGGGAAAAGTCTTGAATGACATGAATTTGGGGTAGTTTCAGCGTCACATTTGCAATGACAGCACTAGTTATTCAATGTTGTCAAAATATTTTTCATACTTCACAGGCATGCTTGCAAATTGTCACACTAGAGGAAATAAAGTTGGTCATTTATCAGAAAAGAAACATTTCTTCCTGGCTAGTCTGATGCTTCATGGTATTACACCACTGAGAACAGGCAAGACGACAACATTCCCAACTTTTTGGTAGCAGAAGCACTTCCTACACAGCAACTATGGATTAATTTTCCAGTCAAGTAATTATCTCTCCCCCAAACTTCTGCCACCAGAGAAGCCGGCAGAATTAGTCTCCACTGTTTATCCCAAACTGCAATATCACATTGCTCTACATTTTTACACTCTCTTCCCCTCAATCAGCAAACAAAAGAGGCAGCAACTGATGGAGTGACCTTTGATGAAGTGACATCAAGTTTTCTAAACTTATAAAATGGTTCAACGCTGCTCAAAATTAAAGTTATGTATAATACGTATTGCAAGATGCTTACATATAAATACAAAATTGTTTTACCCTAGCAGTGTTGTAGTTTCTCTTGATTGAGCAACACTATCACTTAAAGATCTTAAATTCAGTAGTTAATAACTGGCATATAAATAAATGAAGTCAAATTTACATTATGAGTCTATTAAAAACTAATTAAAATGCTAAGCAAGCACGAATCATTTCTATAAAGCTTGCATTTGGTGCAGCTTCAGATGTGCATTTCACTGTACAGAAAACAGCAGAAGAGGCATTTTGTTGCCAGATAGATCTGTATGACTGTTTCACCAGCAGATGTACTTATTCATCATATTCATTCTTGCAACAGTTTAGAAAATTATTAGATTTTGCCATCTGGCACACAAAGCAGTTTACTGTTTGAATTGCTTTTGTTTATCATAATGATGAAGTTATCATAAAAAACAGACAAACCTGCTTCCCAACGCTAGAATCTAACAACTCAAGAGCACAGATGCAGCGCGCCTGTTATGTTTCTCCCAACATTATTAAACATAACAGGTGACAATAAAAAATCATCTGCGTAGGTCACAGTACACATTTGGCTTCACACATCCTCCGCTGGGGGTGTGTGTTCTGGTGTAAAAATCTAATTTCCAGGTTTAATGCACATATCAATTGCAGGACACAAGTAACTGTACGTTCTTGTTTGCTTCATTCCTTTTTGAAGTTCAACAAATCATCGAGGGATGAAAATCTTCAAACCCTTTCCTCCTCTCCCCTCTCCTAACAGAAGAGCATTGAGCAGCTGAACAATGAGGCAGCTGAAGTGTTAGAGGATCTTGTCTTTGTTAGCCTGCCCTCTCTGATCAATACCTGAGTCAGAAGAGTTCAGTTCCTGGTTCTTTAGTCCATCATGAACTGTCCTCGAAGACAAAATTCTGAAATGAAAAGAAGATTGGGAAAAGGGACAGATGGTAAGGATAGTCACCTCTTAGTTACTAAAACCCAAATGTTAATTTTTTTTTCCTCCAGGTCCAGCCTTATTAATCTGGTTTTTATACCTCCCCTGTTTCACAATAATAACATGCAAGGACTATCACATTCAATTTGGAAAGGACTAATGTACTCCTACAGCTAGCAGCAATCCTTTCTCGCTTCAAGTGTGTGGGCTACCATGCTGACGATCACACCACACCAAGCTATGGACTATAGTTCCATTTTCTGCCTCCTTTTAACTTCATTTCACATTTCATGGCACAAGGCAGTGTACAGTCTTACCTTAGGCACTTTGAAAAAGAAGGATTTGAAATAAAATACAACAAAAATGACTCAAGTATTCCGGTAAGAATTCCAACTACAAAACATGGAAGAACAGCCTGCTCAGTATTTTAGGAGCAATGAAAACATTGGCGGGACTACTGACAGAACTGGCGTTTATAAAGCTGTTAAGAGTCAATAGAACCAACTGTCAGGCATTCTACCGAGCATTTTTCAGCAGCCTCACACAAAGGAGTTTCATATGCATGACAGAGAGTTTATAGACGAATTGTAGATATTAGTAGAACTCTCCTTTTGGCTAGTCTGGGCCAAATTTCACGGAAGGAACTACTAGAATGATTCACACTGAAGCCAGATTTTCTGATCAGCTGTGCAAAATCACAGCTACATGTTAAGGCAGCCACATTTTCCAAGCGTATTTACATTACAGAAACTGTATTATTTGAGAAGGGAATACAACCAAAAGGGAATCCAGCAATTTTCCCTATTAATCACCATTAAAAAAAAAAGACCCAATCACAAACTTATAAACACAGTCTTAAGATCAGGTTAGTTTTTCTTAAATGCACTCCAATACTCGCAGATAACGCAATCTTTTAAAAGTGAAAGATCAACACTTTCAATTCCAGAACTTCAATGACTTGACCTATTCAATAATTCAGCTGAGTTGCACTAGGATTGTTAAAAAACAAATTCAATGTTTTCTATCAAAAGCAGTGCAAAAGGTCTTTTTCAACATCAACAGGAACTACCAGCATTAAGAGAAATGGATCGTGGCATCTCTCAACCCTCAGCATAGCACTTCTGTAAAGCTAAATCTCCCCTAAGACAACACCAGTTAGAAAAAGAAAAAAACAACCCCAAACCTCAACAAAAAATAAAAGCAAAAAACCTGTTACTTACTGTTTCTCTGGTTGAACTACTGCAATTTTTTTCTGCTTATTTACTGAAAGGAAGGAGAACAAAATATAAACAGCAAAGTACAGGAGACAAACAAATGAAACTTCTAGTGCAATATATATACTAGACTCATGTCCTCTAAGTTATATGCCAAAAAGAACCTATGTTCAAAGCCACCACAATGTGAGGACAGCCGGCCCATCTGCACTAGAGACATGCTGGCCCACATAATTTGAAGTAATCCAAAAGGTTTACTTCGACTTTCACTAAAAGTTCATAAAATCAGGCATGCATATCCCCAGTTTTCTAGGAAATCTCACCTTTTGTGCATCTTTCTTTGCATCATAGTCCTTCAACTACCTGTAATACCAGCCAAAAAGGAATGATGTGCTTTCCTTTTCAGCACCCAAAGGTGCCGAAACCAAACCAAACCAAAGGTTAGGCTCATAAGCCTAACTTGCCACTTTACTGGCACAAGGAACTTCAACGCTGTTTAACTTTGAAATGCAATGAAATTAGCTGGTTAGAAACGTATTACGACTTAAGCCAATTGCTATGGAGGAAAACACTGTTGCAACTAAGAAAGTCAACTAGGTGATGGCCGCACTTGCCAATTCTGGCTTTCACAATCAGGTAATAATATTAAACAAGGTAATGCAACATGTGCCTCTTCCACAATTTCAGGCTTTGTCCCCAGCAAACTTCTGGATTTTTTTTTTTAAGCATATTTTCTCTAATGAAGTTCTTAGGTTCCCCCTGCTTCCTCCTCTGTTCTTTGCAGCGTGGACACGTCTCAGACAAGTTTCACTTGCTTTGGCTTCCAGTAAATGAAGCTCATTCCAATCTTTCAATTTTATTATCTTACCTAATAAACATTCAGAAAATTCTTCAGTTTCTCCAGCTCCCATTAAACTTTAATAAACAGAGCTCACTAACCAGTTGAGAGAAGACACTATCTTATGCTGCTTACTACTGTAGTTAAAACAGGTAGGATTTACTTTTCAACATTTTGTCATTAAGGGATCATAACCATCTGGCCCATTTAGAAAGCCAGTCCCCTTTATTTCAACTCCAAAACGCATACACACTCAACCCTGTTTTGTTATGGCATTAATTTTACTTGCACAAGTGCAAGTGTAAAATCAGTATCAAAGTCAGACATGTGGCAAGAACAGCTCAGACGAAAGTATGTGCGTTGCACGGGTGTGTGTGCATACACACAGACAGGATTTCTTTACTGTGACGAATGGACAGTTCCCACACGCCCGTACAGCATGCAAGGGTCTCAAGCCAACACTGCCCACTTCGGAGTTGTGTGGATTCCAGCTGCACCTAACAGCCGGGGGAACAGTTGCACAAGGCATAGATTCTCTGTACATGGTGAATGTTTCCAAATTCAGTGATGCTAGCAATAATTCTGTGGTAGCCTGCTCTCGAAGCTCTTGCCATCTCTACCAACCCAGCTAACCACAGCAAATAGACCAGAACTGATACCTATTGCTTTGCGAGGAGGTCTGAGCTGATATCCATTCGTTTCACACCAACCCACTGGAAATATATTCATTGATTCCACACTCACTATACAGTCAGGGACGGGCTTCTTGGAGCCTGTTTAGAGAAACAAAAATTGAAACAACTCATAAAAATAAAAAACCTTATTTGGTTAAAGCTTGCTATATGTTTGCCAGTGAAGCTGCTTTTACTTCTAGCATATCTGGAACACACCATCAATTGTTAATTCATCCCTTTTTATTGACCAGATTCTTTCCTGACCTCATTTGCTTAATCCTAAAGGCTGGAGATGGGAGTTTGCCATCCACAGTTTAGCAGAGGTGCACAGGGTATAGTCAGTCCGTGCTGATGTATTTCCAATTGAGAAACAGGATTATAATGGAGAACAGCTGACATAGGCCTACTGTATCTTAATGAAGAACGTCTCTAAAAGTTTTCTTCCTAGGTCTGGTCAAAGCTTGCTCAGAATCCAAGTCACTCATTTGAAAAAATGATTTCTAAAAGACACCAATCAGCACTTCGCACAGCACACTAGCCTAGCACTGACACGCTGAAACGCACAAACGCTGCTTTTGCCTGGCTTAAATAAGCATCGTCATCCAAGGCTAACTGGGAAACAGACAATGTAAATGGGGTTTTGCTGTGTTTTCATTAAGGAAATGGTAATTTGCTGTCCATATTCAGCAGGCAGTGAGTTTGTTCCAGATACTCTTCAGGTTTGATGACAGTACTACAGGAGAATCAATGCAACTGCTACTCTCCTCTCTCACATCAAGCTTACCTTCCAGCTGAAGCCAGAGGTAGGAATCTTTCAACTTGGTGACTGTAGCAATGCAAACTTCTTCAGGATCAACTGGGTTCACAGCCTCAAGTTTCATATTCTCTTTAAATCCATGGTCAGAAGAAGTTAACTAGGAAAAAGACAGAATATTTCAGTAAAATACCATCTGTATATCCAGTATATGATACGAATAGCCATGACTGGGAATAACACATAAAAGCCTCAGTGTTTGAGTAACACAAAGATACTCACGCAACCAGAGACGATTTCAAATAATTTGCACATTGAATACAAGTAAGATATATTACGAACTACAAAGAACTTAAGTTAAAAAAAAAGGCTCTATAGACAGACCTACAAAACATGTTTGTACTCAAAAATAAGGATGCTGATACTCACTGAGAGGACTGAGTGCATTCTAAGCAACCAGGAATTCTCTGGTGCTTGCTACCTAAGTGGTAATTCTGACAAATAGTCTCACCAGGCTCTCTATTCTATTATGTTAGCTTGGAAATCAATTTTATGTATGTAAATAACATTCCTGCCTCATCCAAATGAGTTCTGGCAGACAGAAAAGGAAGCTTTCTTTTCATTTTACATTTTTTGGATACGTAGGATTTTACTTTATTCACCACCTTCGTCCCCATTTATTGAAAAATTCCTAAAATATAAGAATGGATATTTATTCAGCTCTGAAGTGCCTGAATTAAAGATAAGAAGTAACAGCCAGACAGAGGAGTCTTCCTCCCAGAGCTACTCTGCAACCTAATTACAGGATCAATACATTACAAATTCTGGAACTAGCCTACAGTGATCAACTCTTCTCAGAAAAGGGATAATAAATTCAATGACCTGTTCTAAGATGCCCACAGCTTGCAAGACAGAACAAGGGCAACAAGAATTCATAGCCAGCAACACCCTCTTCAAAAAACGGTAATTATTCATTTTAATTTCTTCCCCTAAGCACTGCAGTAGCCCAAGTAGAGTAAATGGAATTGGAAGGCAGGTGTTAATAATAACCTTTTCTGCCCGACAAGGTATTCTGCTCTGGGAGATGGCAATAGTGTCACTGAATCAACAAAAGCCCAAAATCTAGCAAGTACTTCAGGCACTGATTAATGCAAAATGATTACCTGGTACTAATTTAAGATGACTTGGTATTGATTAATACAATGGAATGAATTTTTCAAGCTGAAAGGATGGAAGATTGAAAGAGTACACTAAGTAAATGAAAACAAGGTCTATTAAAAGGCCCCATTTCCACAATTACAGGAGTGCCAAGGATTGATGCTGTTTTATGACTATTCCATGGAGTCTCACGCATCTCAATTTTACAAACCACTCATTTCTTTTCGATCTGCTTTATCACAACTGCAGCATTTGATCCACCACTTCCTTATCTAGGAGGCTGGCATGCACCTACTACTGTTCACATATATTTACCCTTTGTTAACTCTTCGGTTTCCTCAGTTATCACGGGTAATTTAAGTCAAAAACGTGCAAAAGATTCTTTCCCCTGGAATCAAGAGTGTCATCCACATAACAGAAGAGACATTTGTCTGCAAGAGAACCTTACCGAAGGGAAGCAGCTCTGGGGAGCTGCCTCAGCACCACATTGTTTGAGGTAGTCTGCCCAATCGAAGTCCTGCCCAGGATAACCTAGGTGAAGAAAAGGCAAAGGGGTTAGTTTAGCAGCATGAGAACAAATGACTCATTGCAAGCTGATGTGAAGTACAATCATTGAAATCTGTTTGGGTCACTCAAGTTTGTCAGCTGACTAGGGCGTCACTGAGCCATCTGAGGGCAGCCCATAGCACGGTTCACACATATTTGGGATATCCTCTTCATTTGCATTGCAGAGGGGCTTTTGGGCACTGCTCCACCTTGACTGCCATTTTTTACTTGAAATGGCATGAAACTAAATGGGACTTCACAGAGGGTAACCTGAAGTGTGAATAAAGTACATCTGCTAAGCAGACAAGGGCAGTGATCGAAACTCAGGGAAGCGTTTGCACCCTTTACATAGGGTATAGATGAAATTCTGGCAGTTTCCACAAGATTACTTTATCAATGTCATGTCAACTCTGAATTTTTTTTTAATTTGGTTTTTTTAAATGTATCAGCCAAAATGTGCTCGATACCAACATATTACGCTCTCAAACACATGTTAAATACCAAGTCATTAAAGTTAGCAGTTAGTCGTCCTAAGAGGCTCATCAAGTTTGCTAACAGCTGTAAATCTGCATATGTGTTTGAAGGGAAGAGTCTTAACATGGAGTCCATCAGGAGGCAGAGCATCTCTCCAAGAAAAAGACAAATTAAAATCTGCTTGGAGGAAGTACTTCACTTCCCTGTGATCTAATAAACAGCAAATAACTGAAGGGAACTGGGCATAGAAGTGGGCTGCTGTGATACTTTGAGGCCGGCAGTATATTAGCAAGCAGACAACTGTAGCAGTTATTCCAGTAGTACCTTGGAAGCACTCCCCTACAAGGGATGCCTGTGACAAGGGTTTAAGAATTCAAGCAAAATTTTAAAACTAGTCTAAGAATATAATATTAACATGACAATCTAAAAACACGAAGTTCAACTAGCCCCCACAGAGACGGCCTAACCACAGAAGGACCTATTTGTTTTTCTCAGTTTGATCAGCGACAGTAGGACTCCTGAGACAATTCAGAATGCCCACCATTTCCTGGGAGGCTACCAGAACAGAAGCTTAAAATCTTTGTCGGCTCCAGTCACATACCTAGAAAGCGAGATTTCATCTTTCACATGCAAAATTCTAGGTAATGTTGAGTAAAGCAAAGCCTCTTTTTGTACCTTACCCAAGGAAAGGCAAAGGATGAACATCCTCTGCTCTTTCCTCCTCTGATGTCACGAGCAACTAAAACAAAACATTCTGAATTCTGTGGCGGTGAATAAGAGTACTCAGTCCCTGGTTTTACAATACCATTGACATTTCCATTTTGAGAAAATGCATAAATATTTCAGTAGCTGAGGATCACTCCCCAATTCCCTTATGTCCTGAAGCAATGTTTCAGCAATCTGCTACCTTGCCTGATAGGTCCTTGGAAAAAAAAATCCTTCATTAACTTCTGAGTGATAAGATATTCTAAAAATATTATAAGACATTGGATAACAACCTTCCATTTTGACCAGAAGCAAAAATCCAATGCAAAGACTATAGGTTTCTGGTATCATGTTAATTAATGCTGAAATCAACATTGCCTTCAGCTCTGGAACACATACTCCATTCGTTCAAGTGTTCAGGATTTTATGCATGACCAGCATCCCCCAGCCACTGTCATCTTCTCAAATCCAGGCACGTACCCAGGAAACTTCAGTTTCACTAACTCAAAGCTCCTGTTTCTCAGAATTTGGTCTTTCCTGTTCTTTGCTTTTGCTACTACACGTAATTCTGTTGTGAAAGTGCTGTCCTAAACATGGCACTCTGGGGACTGGCAATCTGTTTCCTTCAAAGAGGAGCGAGCATGACAAGCTTGCACAAACATACCTGGTGGGGGACTGAGATGCAAGCCGTTCTTCAGACTCCATTGCACAGGGAAAATACCAGCACTGTTGACATGACAAATGTAAGACTGGCTGGTTGTACGCTCTGGTCTCAAGTCGTCAATCTCTATCATGAAATATTTTTCATTGTATACCTGTATTTAGCCAAAAAAGAACCATGTGGTCTTGTAAGTAGCAGATCCCGATCTGTGGCTCCCTCTCCCCCATTTTGATAACTTTATTAAACAGCAACATTGCACAACGGTTATATTGAGAGACTATCTGTCCTAAAGCAAAAGCAACATTTCCTGGAAAATAGACCAAAAAAAAGATTTTAAAATAAGTCCTGGTTTTATTTGCACAGCAACATTTTGTTTTACTACATTAAAGCAGGTCTCTTTAGAACCATTCACCTGCTTACTAACACAGGAAGACAGAAGTTGCTCAAAACCTGATTACTTTGGGGAGTTTTCAGCTTTTAAAGCCATGTGTGAGCCCTTGTTTGAAGATCAGGCCACCTAAACGTCAGAGCTTGTACACCGTAATAACATGAACTTTTGCAAAAACAAATCCCTGAAATCTATCTTCAACTGGATACTCAGATTATGAAGGATTATATCCACTCTTAAAAATCTGGGTTTGACAATATTAGCTGTTTGATCTTTTTGAGCTTGTATCTTTATGGAATGTTTTGCCTCCTTTCAAATCCAATGTCATCACCGTCAGCAGTTACAATTTTTTTTTCACGGCAACCTGTCCCCTAAAGAAGACATACAAAACACTTAATTTGAAAATTAGTTCCAGATTTGAAGATAACCAGTCGATAAGACTTTCCTGAGCATTTAAGAACAGAAGTAGCAATAGAACTGAATCCTAGCAGGACAAGTTAAAAGAACCCTGGTACCTTGAGAACTGTAGCAGGAGAGATTACAAAAGGAGCCATTGGGTCCACAGCTTCTAACTTCATGCCTTCAGAGAAGGAATGCACTCCAATCACAGGTTTATCCTGAAACATGGAGTATCAGGGTGATTACTTGCCTTTCTCCATCAAAAAAAAGATGTGCCTTACATAATTCAACTGAAGAGGATAACTTGAGCTTTTATTAGTTTATTCTAAGAAATCAACATGTCATAGTACCAGCCACCTCTCTCTAATGAAAAGGCCAACTCTGCTCTCTGAGACCGACGGTTTTCTATGAGTTTTAGGAAACTGAGTCCTCAAGTTTTCGTCCTCTGATGTTCTCCACACAGAAGCAAGATTTCAAAATACGGAGTGGTCTGGTAAGTCAATAGAAATCCTCCCCCCCCCTCCCCCCAACCTTTATCACTCATGAGCTACACTAGAAGAGAACTATAGAAGTCTCCATTTTCAGCTTAACAAAAACCTGCAAGACAGGGCTCCTGCTCCAGAATTATCTACATCCTGCTCTGTATATGACCCAACACATTCAAGAGCAACAGCACCTCCTCTTCTATTCTGCTTATGGGTCTAAACGAAGCTGAGAAAAATGAACTGAGAACTTGAAGGACTAAATTTACATTCCTACATCTCAAAACATGCCAAGATATTTTTTTTTTTAATATTTCAATTCATATATATTTAAATTCAGACTCATTAATACATTTGCTAACACTTAGAATATAACAGGACACCTTATACACCATGTGTAACAGATTACAGATTAGATGTTACACATGTTAAACTTTTCAATGTACTCAGAATTAGCGAGATTGTAGTAACCCTGCACTCCTCTAGAAGGACAGTAATCCACAAGACCAGGTGGTGAACAACCGGAGATAACATTATAAAGGATCAGAACTGGGGATTTTTCCCAGTATGACAACTAATGGTTCACATATTTGTGATGGGTGCATTGTCTAACTTAACAAGAATTGTATAATAGTATGATTATTTTTTATTATTCTAACATTTTAAACTAGAGGGAGAAAGAAAAAAAAAATTGAAAGAAAAAAAAACAAACCAAAAACAGGGAAAGAAATTTGAGTAACAGTGACTAACTTCCCCGAATAATTTCTTAGGAATATAGGATTTTCATGATATGACCCACATAAACTACACATATTGTGTCTTTACCTTAAAGAGATCTGTAGGAACCGATGAATCCTCTTCCTCTTCTTTCACCTTCTTCAGGATCTCTTGCCAATCTGCTTCGCTCTTCAAGGGCCTAATGGCTTGAGTAAAAAGAAAAGTGAATGAAATCATCTTCCTTCTTTTCCTTCAGAACACATAGCAATACAGCCAAAAGTTTGCTTTGTGCTCTTCCAACTGCCTAATATGTATCTGTTCAAAATTTGTGCAAATACTTTCCTTCTTAAAAGCTTACTGTTTTCTTCCACAGTTGAATGTGTTACAAAAAGGGACTGAAGTCAAGCAACACTGTCTCACCCATATGCTGCCCAGACTAGTTTTTCTGAGAAAATAGAGATCACATCAACAGCAAGGAACACTTCTGGAGACACCTATGACCAGAACACAAATCCCCAGCTGGATAATGCCAGCTTGTTTTACGCTTAAGCAAGCAGAAAGTTCAAGAAATGTTCCACAACTGTGTCCCAGCTGCGTAAGTTACTCTTTTAGCATCTATAATTGCAGACCACACACCTCTCTGATAGAAGAGGAATTACTTGTACCAGTGCCATCATGCACAAAGGATGCCTGTGAGTATATCAAAGCTCTTACATAGACATAAAAAGGAAACAAGTCCAGTACCCAACTAATATTTTTAAAAGACATTATTCACTTAAATAGCGCTGTGGAATCCAGCCTTCTAGTTTCTGTCAGCTATCTGGCATCTCCCTGCTCACATTCCTGACTTCAGCAGAGATTGGTCAAGCACTAGCAAAGGCAATATGCTCAGTCGTTTCAACAGAAATTGGTTTGGTTGCCTCAGCATGATTTCTCCTTGCCTTAAGGGGAAAACATTAAAAAAAAAAACCCACAACAAAAGCAACTGTTCTAAACAACCTAAACTTCCCCAAGTAATAGCACAGAGTGTACCAGAACCTTAGATGTACACCTGCCTTTGCAAAAAGGCTTCAGGGTAAATGCTCAACATTCTCCAGTTTTATCCCAAGGTTTCCCCTCATCAGGAAACACGTTACATCACTGCTCAGCTCATAAGCAATCCATTTGTGTTTCAGCCATCTTATGCCCCACTTCTTTGATGACCCACCCTGACATGCACATGCCTGGAAAACAAGGTCATCTGTCCCACCTTCTGCCTCTGCTTCCACATGCTTGTTCCCTGGATGCCGATTTTTAAGGACATTTTCATATCCACGTAATAAGACAGTGCCTTAATTAGCCCAGTGGACGTGGAGTCACAACTGCAAAAGCTTCTGTTGAGCAGTACTTCAAAACCAGGTAACTTTTCTCCCCCAGGAATACAAATCTAACAAAAATAACTGTGAAGGCAAACCCTTCCACAGTTCCGCCTTTTCCACAAACAGGTGGAAAGTTTTGACAGGCAAAACCAGTTATCAGCTTTTGAACCACAAAATGGTCAGGGTTGGAAGGGACCTCTGGAGATCATCCAGTCCAACCCCCCGGCCAGAGCAGGGGCACCTACAACAGGTTGCACAGGATGGCATCCAGGCGGGTTTGGAATGTCTCCAGAGTGGGAGACTCCACAACCTCTCTGGGCAGCCTGTGCCAGTGCTCCACTACCCTCAAAGGAAAGAAGTTCCTCCTCATGTCAAGATGGAACTTCCTATGTTCAAGTTTGTGCCTGTTACCTCTTGTCCTATCACTGGGCACCACTGAAAAAAGACTGTTCCCATCCCCCTGGAACCCTTCCTTTAAGTATTTAAGTATTAATAAGATCCCCCCTCAATCTTCTTTTCTGTAGACTAAAGAGACCCAAGTCCCTCAGCCTTTCCTCATATGAGAGGTGTTCTAATCCCCTCATCATCTTTGTAGCTCTTTGTAGCCCTTGGTGAGGGTCCCCTCACCAGCAGATCCCTGTCTTTCTTGAACTAGGGAGCCCAAAACTGGACGCAGTACTCCAGATGCGGCCTCACCAGGGCAGAGTAGAGGGGGAGGATGACCTCCCTCGACCTGCTGGCCACACTCTTCTTGATGCACCCCAGGATGCCACTGGCCTTCTTGGCCGCCAGGGCACATGGCTGGCTCATGGTCATCCTGTTGTCCACCAGGACTCCCAGGTCCCTCTCCACAGAGCTGCTCTCCAGGAGGTCAGCCCCCAACCTGTACTGGTGCATGGGGTTATTCCTCCCCAGGTGCAGTACCCTACACTTCCCCTTGTTGAACTTTGTAAAGTTTCTCTCTGCCCAAATCTCCAGCCTGTCCAGGTCACGCTGTATGGTGGCACAGTCTTCTGGTGTGTCAGCCACTCCTCCCAGTTTTGTGTCAGCAAACTTGCTGATGGTACATTCTATCCCTTCATCCAGACCATTGATGAATATATTGAACAGGACTGGACCCAGTACTGACCCCTGAGGGACACCACTTGTTACTGACCTCCAACTAGACTCTGCACCACTAACCACAACCCTCTGAGCTCTATCTGTCAGCCAGTTCTCAATCCACTCTACTGTCCATCAATCCACCCCACCAATTAGTGGGTGAAAAGTCCTGTAGGACTATTTACCGGTGTTTTCACTTACGTATTATTAGGTACAGTATTTGACAGATCACACACTGATTATGTGACCACCATATGCATCCAGAAGGCAGATTTAGAGCACCAAAGCAGCAGGGGTATTCTCTAGCCTCTGATCACCATATAAAAGATACATGTTTTGAAGTACCTGAAGGTGGCTGCAGGCTATATCCATGCTGAGCTGCCCACCCCACTTGATGAAGGAAAGGGTCCAAGTAGAAGAGCCATTGATCAAATTTGTCAGAATCATCCAGTCCTTCGTATCGCAGTTTAAGTCTCCCACCAACATTTTCTACCACGTTGACTATCCAGGCTTCCAGGCAATCCCGAATGTTTTGCAGTTCTAGTCGGGAGCCTGGTGCAATGAGATCCAATGGATTTTTCCCTCTGTGGAGCTAAAAAAAGATCAAAAATTATTCTGTACAACAGAACAAAACAAATCCTGTACTTCCACTTCTTTATACGCATTCTTTTTGTGTAAATAAAGTATGAATACAGAAGTAAAGAAATACAGGTCCCTTACTAACACAAGACAACAGAAATGACAATGTTTAGAATCGCTGGTGCTTGCATCAGAGCTTCTGCACTGCCTGTAGATAGTCACACATTTCACTGAAGTCCCTATCATCATTTTCAGAAGCATCATCACTTACATATTCAAGGTTTGAAGGAAACATGAATAATCTCTCTCTAAAACTGAGTCATCTAGCATACAAAGATGACAAGACAGAAAACATACAAAGATAAAAATGCTAATTGTAAAGAAGCCATCAATGGCATTAAAAAAAATATAATGTTTTGTACTTTACCACCAGATGCTGATACAATGTGCAAATACTGTCTTAAGTGCAGAGAAGGGGATAAAAATGTGGTTCTTCACTAGCAAAGATGCAAGATTTAAGTGAAACAATAACCTGCCCGTTAGTAATAAATAAACACATAAATAAATAAGTGAAAGGAGTCAACTGAGAAAGGGGAATGTGAAAGCCAGATAAACAAAGGATTATTTCCTTGGAGTTGTATGAAGGAGGAGCAGAATAGAAGGAAGACTTAAAACTAAGGGTGTTTGAAAAAGGTCTTTCTTTTGCTAGGATTAATGAATGGCCCAAACCTGCAGTGACAGATGAGTTTCAGGACAACACTATCAGAATTAAATACTGTAAACAGGAAACACTAGAGAGTGGAACTTTAAGGTCAGCAGCATACTACAATGATCCCTAAACTTAAAAAAGGAAATGAACTGACACTCTGAATAGGGGTTCTCTTAATGACAAAGGGGAAAATCAAGACAAAAGCTGAGATGCAGCACATTGCAGCACTTACCCCCTCCAGCAGGTTAGCAGGAGCACTGCATGCTCCTTTCAGCACCCGCTGAAGGAATTCCTCCTTGTCAGGTATCTTGTCCTTGATACCTAAGTGGAAAGTGAAAAAAGACTGTGATTCTTCCTGCCAGCTAAAGATTATTCAGACAATGAGACGTTACCACTCTCTTGCACTACCTAATTCACAAGAATCTGCCACATATTCACCAGTAACACCTTAAAAGAAGAAAGAAAACAACAACAAAATCTTTCAAGGAAATTACAAAGCAGTAGAATTTGGTGCACAATGATTAAGACAACCATAAGCCTCTGCAAAAATAAGTCCAGTTCTGAAATTAAGCTAACTCGTTTCTGCTGAAAGAGCAATCTCCTACTGTAGGTCACGGGATTTCAGAAAAAACATGGCAGACAACCTCAACTTGTCATCACAGCAACCCTACCTGTGCACAACAGCAATTATGAAGACTACCCGTCAGGCTTACAAAGGACAAAAGCATACATTTGTATGTACTTCCCACTTGTGCATACGGAGCCAATACCTTCAGGCACTTTGAGAATCTTCTTGTTCTGCTCACACCAGCCGATGGGGTGTAAATCAGCTGTCATGATATCACACCAAAAGTCAGCCTTGCGGTCTTCCCCGTAACCATCGTAGCGCAGCAGGAGCAGCTGCCCACAGGTAGTAATGATGGTGGCCACCCAGTAGGTGTTCTGGTCAGACTTGACAGCAACTTCTAGCTTCATACCAGGGGCAAAACCATTCTGCAAACTTGTATCCACCTGAAGAGAACGAAGATCATCACATTTGAGCACCTCCCAGAAACTTCATGGAACAACAGGGGGAACCATGTAGACATGCTCATTAGCAAAAACCCTCAAGCCAAATGCTATCCAGTCTCTTCAGAGAAACAACTTCATCATATTACGTGTCCAATATTGGAACGTACATAGAATCATCATTAATGAAATCTCCTTTGCATTTCAGAGTATCTTTTGAACCTTAAATCAGTATCTTGCGATTCATCTTCCTGCCCTGGACAATACCTCAGCCATCACGAAAAAGCTTTCCAACTCACCGCTGGGCTGCCAAGCTAGGCAAAACTAAAGGTCCAACTCAGCAACACAATTTGGACTTTCTGTGTTAAACTATGTCTTTCAACCTCTTTGGAAAAAGAGCCTGTTTAAAGTACATACACACACTTTAGATAACAATAGCACTGTCTCTTCCACCGTGCTCATTTAAGAATGCACAAATCTGCACAAATTGCAGAACATGGATTTTTAATGTGTCTATGTAAGAACCCAAATAATTCTGTAAGTAGCGTTGTTACATAAATTGCATAGAACATAAACAATATGTGTTCTTCAGTGAACTCAGGCTTTGACAACAAGAAAGTGCCAAATAGTGTGTGCTCTGTGCGTACGTGTGTGCGTTATGTGCAGGTGAGGAATCTGACTGCACAGTACTTGGATACCGAAATGTGAACTTGAGAAGGCAAAACATTAAGTTTCTCATATCCCTAACTTCCCTCAGCTCAAACATTCCTGAAAGAGCAGAAGGACTCTGTTCTGCTCTCGCTACAGTATGTTTCTGAGCTACACTTAAGTCCATGGCCTCAGTCTTAATTAAAAGTCTAACATGTCCATCCCCTGTTCTCAGCTGAATGTAACTGATGGTTTCTTTCTTAAGTGGTCCCAAGTTCTATTTCCTCTTTGAATCAACTGCAAGAAAGGCTTTCAGTACGATGCAGATGCAGTAATATTTTCTGGGTTATTTATTACCAGTTCTGCACTGACAGTTCAGTAACTGCCATAGCTATTATAATCTCATCAGCCAGCACACACTGGTTTGCTAAAAATAAAACTAAGAAAACCACATCAGAAAGAAAAGCATAGGCTTCTGTTAACTGTTCACATCCTTTAGGTTAATATCCTTCACTTAGAGAAACCCCTTTTTGAAAAAAAAAATAAAAAATCAGCAGAACCCAATACCTGCAGGCGTTTTGAGGTGGTATTGCAGAGAGATCATCTATCTA